GAACAGAATGTTTGAAGGTGTTAGAAAAGTAGATACTAGCATATTTACTGGCGTAAGCGGTAACAAAAAGGTCGAGATATACAGAGTGTGAAAGAACGAAGAAGAATGTTTTAAGTAGAGTTTGTAAGGAAGAGAGAAACAAAACAGCACATAACAAAAAAAGAGAAAAGGAAAAGAAAGAAAGAAAACGTTGTACCTATAAATGATATGAGTTGGAAAGACGAGATCCAATTGTTCTACTGACTATTTAATAAGTTATAAGTTTCACGCCTAATGCTTTCTTTATCGCACAGAACACGAGCCAAGTAGGGTATGGTTGAGTTTTTGTACTTGCTAGTGCGAGCATATAGTTTTCTATATAGGCTTCTGGTCCTGCCTGATGAGATACAAGGGGAGAGTTGTGAATGAAGAGGGTGGTGTGAGTTAGATAGAATGGATTTAGCCCATTTTTCACATGAGTCCAAGTGCCTGTCGACCAGAATATTAACAAGCTGGTTAAGTGGCACGTTGCTTACCCTGCTGACAACCTTTAACACCCTACGTAATAAGATATAGTCTTTCTTCAGTAGCCCTGGAAAAACTAAGGGGGAACAATAGAGAATAATAGGCAGGATGCAAGAGTTAACGAATCGTAGGAGTAAGGGTTGGGTTATTCCAGAATGTAGAAGGTAAGACGGAATGTTTTCTTAGAAATCATCAAGATATGAGACAACCAGGAAAGATCAGCAGGTAGAATGATACCAAGATACTTGATTTCCGACTTGGTCTCTATTTCAATGCCATCTATGTTGCACACCTCGTGAGTAATGTCAGATTTATGCCTAAAGATGAAATTGACTGTTTGACATTTAGATGGATTTAAGGTAAGACCGTATTTTTTGGACCACTGGCTGATTTCTGATAAAAAGCCATTTAGTTTGGAGCAGTCACTTTGACACTTGATAGGCAAAGATATAGTTAGATGGTCAGCATATTTGACAAAATAAATGTCATTTGAAGATGGTAAGTCATGTAGAAAGAAAGAAAAGAGAAGTGGGGAGAGTACAGCACCTTGGGGGACACCAGCTTCAGTGAGCACAGCAAAGGAGGATTCACCTTTGTATACTGTGTACTGCATTCTGTTAGAGAAGTAGGAATGCAGCCAGTTAGTGACCCAGGACTCAGTTTGTGTCGTCGAGAGCATTTCAGGAGACTGTGTGAACTGATTGTATTCAGCGTATGCTGTTGAATAACTTGGCTTCAAACAAGTGAAACAACCGTTCGTCGTTCAAATCACTTCGATTTGGCCAGCAATCACTACTGATTGTTGATGTGAACGATATTCTACTACTCATTTCAAACAGCAAGTAGTATATAGCGTGATAAAATATTTGAGTTGTCTTTTAAGCAGACATACTCATGAGGTTATTGACATGCTTGAAAATCAACGGTCAGATGAGATTTGAACTCTATACGACTCCTTTCAACTAGTGGCTAGTGCTTGTCTCGTTAATCAGATTGAAGGGATACAAGCACATCAGAATGCCAGGCGTTTCGATCGTTTGCCGCCGAGGTCATTTCACCAGCGAGCCCGATTTGACTCAGTTTAAAGAGTCAAGTCAGTTTAATGATAATTATAAATTGCTTTATTTCAAAAAAGTATCTGTGATACAGTGTGGAATTCTCAGCGTTTTGTACAGTATCGCATCTAATTTAATAATAATAATATTGCAGGACTGATAGTAAGTTAGTTGAAATAGTGCCAGCAAAGATTACAAACATGAGAGGATGAAAGTGCCAATTACATTTCTAATTACTTAGGAAGTCGTAGGTTTTTCGCCTAATATTGTCTCTGTCATAAAGAACGTAGGCCAAATAGGGTATTGTCAAGTTGTGTGAGCATATAATCTTTTATAATGACTTCTAGTGCTGTCTAGTGAGATGCAAGGGGAGAGTTGAAAACAGAGGGGAAGTGGAAGTCAACGAATATGGATTCAGACCATTTTTCACATGAGTGTAGGCGTCTATTGACCATTGTAGTAACAAGCTGACTGATTAATTAGCACACCACTCACTCTTCTCAAAGTGACATAGTCCTTTTTGAGTAGCCGAGGAAAGACTCAATAGAGGACAGCAATAAAGAACAACTGGTAAGATTCAAGAGTTAACAAACTGTTAAAGCAGGCGTGAAGTGATTCCAGATTGTCTCAACTTCTTAAGGTAGAAGATCTTACGAAAAATTTACGTAGAAATTGACAAAATATGGGATGTCCAAGAAAGGTCATAGGAAAGAACTATTTTATTTCAGTGCCATCTCCGCTACAAGCATCATGTAGACGAACTAGTTGTTGTAGATCACGTCGTTTCTGCTTGACGGTGAAGTTAACTATCTGACATTTAGAGGGATTTAAGGTATGGCCATTCAGCTTAGACCACTGACTAATATCCGATAAAAAGCTATTCAATATATCAATTTGTGCAGTCAGATCGGGATGTAACTGGCAACGCTACAGTCAGGCTATCAGCGTATTTAACGAAGTCCTTTTCATCCGAAAGACGTAAGTCACGTTTGGAGAAAGAAAATAAAAAAGGAGAGAAAACAGTTCTTCAAGGGACTCCAGTTTCATTAAGCAGTGCAGCAGAGGAAGATTCGCCTTTATATACAGTATACTGCATTCTGTTAGAGAAATAAGGATGCAACCAATTAATAGCCGAAAAATGGGTTTATATCATGACAGACTGATTTAAAAAAAGGTATCTAGATACAGAGTCAAAAGCAGATGTTTAGTTAGTTAAAACCACGCCCCGTCGTGAGTTCTGGATAGCTACTTGGTGGGGGGGAGGGTATGGTAATATCATACATCAAATCCACTATTTAAATCATTTCCATCTGGCTAGTATGTACTACTGGTTAATGTGAACAGTATTCAACTATTTGTGCCAGTGAATCAATGGTACATTGTGTCATGCACCTATGCCTACCTTCTTGATTACTAATTTCTTATTGTAACAAGCGGATCACATGTTGTGTACTGGATAATTTTCGGTTTCCAAAGGAAACTAACTGGAGTGAATTATCTCTCACTTCCTTGAACTGTATCATTTGTCAATTTGACATTTCAACTGGCAGAGTTTCATTTAGCTCTTTGTTTTCAACATACATTCAGGTGGATTGGCCATATTCTGAGGAAACCATCAAGTAACATCACAAGACAGACCCTCGCTCGAGTAGAACCCAAATGGGAAGCGTCGAGTTAGTTGTCAATGCGAGGGTGACATGGAGGAGGTGAAAGCATATGATCAAACGTGGAGCCAGGTGAAAACGTTGCCAGAGAACCGAACGTAGTTGAGACGTGCGGCTGAAGCCTTATGTTCCTCTAGGAACTAAAGGAAACAATAATATAATAATAATTTCGACATACATATTACAATTTACTTTTATCATAAATATACACTTATGATATCATCTCAAGGTAGGCTTAGTTATTAGTTAACGGCAATCAGCTGGAGAACTGATGAACACTCATTTGAATAGAGCAAGAACAACAGTGGTTGGTGTAGAATAAAATAGTACCATAATAGCTTATTTCATTGGCTTCTCATGAGCTGCTTACAGCCTAAAGATATCATCGTTAAGTTTATGTACAGAAGCAATTTTAACATACTTACGCAGAGAGTTCAAGTTTAAACAAAAATCAATGTATGCATACAATGATGATGATAATAATAATAACAACAATCACTTTATCACAAGCAACAATAATCATACAGATTGAAATTCTTAGCGTTACATAATCAAGTGAAAGAGGGGATACAGACATCCAGTTACGAGGAGGCCAAGAAAAGACACAACGCATAAATCAGGTTTTAGGTGTCCGGCAACTATTGCCTCGGCAAACTTGAGGAGAATTGAGCTTCTTTGTTTGCTGATAATTTTTGAAGGATCTTGTGATGTTCACCTCATGAACCGTACCAAGGAAATGCCTGGAAATGGCACTATTGTTATGAATGTTTGTTCCCTAAAGATGTAAGCTTTTTGTTACATGTTTTCCCGATGTAACTGCTCTCACAGATACACGCAAATTTGTATACACAATTAGAGTTGATATGAGACAAGTATCTGTCGACTTTTGATTGCACCAAAGAGCATGTTGTCCAATAAACAGGAACCAACTTAGCTGCACGATAGGCTCTAGCCAGTAAGGTATTCAACCTTATGTTGACTATTCATTCCTGTAATATTGAGTTATATGAAGATAGGCTTCTTTCCCAATGTGATTTATTTGGCAATAGAACCTTCAAGTCCTCCGTATTTGTTAATGTATCTGGGGGGGGGGTGAGTAACCGCTGTCTTTCAAAATCTTTTCTAGAAACAAAAATTCTTCCTCTAATTTGTCTGTGTAACATATTCTCATGACTATATAGAACAGAGTTTTGACTAGTGCTTGTTTGTAGCTATTTGAGAAAAAGACTATTAAAATGTAAGTATTGTTCATTCCATATCAGCTTTCGGTAAATTGACCTCTGGAGACTACCATCTTCTAGGCGTTGCACGTCTTCCTAGTTTCAAAGCTTACTAGCAGTGTATAGTCGAAATCGGGACTGTGAGGTCTGTTAAAGAGCATGTTACCACTGAATTGATGCACTCGAATCCCATAGTCGATGCTCGTACCACAATCAGACACCTATGCTGTTCTGTCTTTCTTATCCATTGAATTCCCATATGGTATGAGTTCATGATATAGTTCAACCTATTAACTAACTTTGTGATCATTATCTAACCATTTTGAATTTAATTGGTGAATGGTAACTAGCAGTATAATCCAGGATGCGTATTTCGTCCCATTTGGGACTCGTCATCTGGATGCACCTGCATTCCGCTGTGAGTGAGCAATGATGTTCCCCCCGAGGCTCGAACCCATTACCCATAGTTTCAAACACCAAAGCGTTATCCATTAGAGCACATGCGCCACGAAATTCAATTAAAACAATCTAACCATTTTGTTTTAAAAATTTTGTAGATGAGACACCCCAGTACAATAGAAAGAAATTCTTCTGTCAATCCTCTGTCTTCACCCACCATGTCTCCATTGAATACAGCCTACCTCCAGGATACACGTCGTTATTTATCTGGTAGCGGTAGTTTATCTGAGAAAAGGAATCATCACCACAGTCAGTTACAACAACTGCAAACATCTGCTTCTCCACTGCATTCCAGTTTACAAACACGTAGTAAAACCAGTAGTATCCCTTATACAGGTGATGCAAATTTCGGCTATCCGCCTTCATTGAATTCATCTTCACTTCACAACAGTAACAATAATAATTCAAATATTCAACAATATCCATCAAGAAATCATCCATTTGTTCCGCCAATCTCTTATCGTCCAGCAACGCTGACCACTAATGTCAATTTCGTATCAAGTGCACAACAGTATAACCAACCGACGACAACGACGACTGGTATCACTGTCGCCACCACTATGACTCCTGCTACTACCACTGATCCTACTTCTACTGCCAGCAATAAATCTTGTGTCGTAAATCGTCGTGAACGATCCTCCAAGGATCCTTCAGAATTAAATCAAGCTCAACAATATCCTACAGCGTACAGTTCACAGAACAATCTGTCTTCAATGCAATCAAAGGCAGAGATGAATGTGACGAATATACCGGCGAGTAATCCTGTACTGCATAAGTATGCACCGTATACACCGTCATCTCAAATGCAGAATAGTAAGTCACAGTTGGTTAAGTTGATTTTTTGCATTCATGAGTTGGTTTTCAGAGTTTTAATTAGTTAAAGGACTTCATCAGGAGGTGAGATCGGTTGGAGAACCATTAGTAAACCTGGGAATACTAAAAAACCAAATGTTTCGTCCTAACTCGGGACACTTCATCAGTATTCACCTCTGAGATTCGTACCCAGGACCTCCCGGTTGCAAGGCGAACTCGTAGACCATTAGGCCACTGTTACCTTCCAAACCAACACCTGAATATCAATTTAATGTGCACCAACGAGGTTGTGACCAATGGGATACAGCAGGCCGTTTATGAGAACGAATACTCATCGCGGATGACATTGGGTAGTGGTCGCGGTGCATCGTGAATTGGCAGAAGTTGAAATTCATGGGCAGATGACCACTGGATCGGGTTCCAGTGTCTTAATGGTCTACGAGCACTCTCGCTTAGCAACCGGAAGGTCCTGGGTTTGAACCCTGACGGTGGGTGCGTACTGATGAAAAGTTCCAAACTAAGTTAACGAAACAACTGTCCAGTACTTCTTGAAGGCTTCCCAATGGTTCTCCAACCAATGTCAGTTCATGACTTTCTGAAGTTAGATAATTGAAAAGGAGTGGAGTGTGTGCTTGTGTGTTTTATAATTGTGTTTTAGAATTGTCATCTTATCTCATCCTATTGTATGGTTGTGTGTAATTGCATGTAGTGCTATGATAGCTGAACTATTCCTTAGACTTCTCATCTTATTAGGGTCAACTAGTGTAGATTTTGCTAAGTTTTCGTGCTCTGCTATTCTATTAATAATAATCACTTTATTCCCAACAATAATAACTATGCAGAATGGAATTTTCAACGTTTCCATGCATATTGTAACAATGTGGCTCCTTTTATTGATATATAAAAACATAATATTGATAAAATTATAAAACCACAAGAACCTGAAAGTTAGTGGAACATAGTGAAGTATAAGTAGATAATATAATGAATTATACATGTAGTAATAATAATAATCTTTGCTCCTACTTTTCAGTTCAGGTTACTGATTTGGAAAAGTTTAAAAGCTGCTTTCTGACATTTGACTCTCTTTTCACACACTGCCACCCGTGCTAAATATGGTGGTATGGATGAATTTCTATATATTTAGTAGCTGTACGAGCTTAAATGCTTCTTATGAAGTTTCTTTTGGTTCCCCCTTTCAGAGAGATACAAGGAGAGAGAGAAGTTTCGAATGAATAAGTTGAGGGGATGTTGGGTATCAGACAAGATAACTGTGGGCCACTGCTTAGAGGAATTAAAATGCCTATCCACAACAAGAATGTAGGTTAGTTGAGTGAAAAGCATATATACACACCGCCAACCCTACTTACAGCCTTCAATGTTCTGAGTAATATGACATAGTCTTTTATGAGAAGCCCAGGGAAGAATAAGTGTGTTTGGGGGTGGGTTAGGGTGTTACAATGAGTAAGAATATATCGAATAAATGAATTAATAAATTGTAACGGAAGAGGTTGATAGTTATGCTAGCAGAAACTCTCAACTTCTTTATGTTAAAAGTCAACCGGAAGGTTGTTTATAGAAATCAACAGGATACGCGACGATTAACAGGGATTCGAAATGAAACTGATGTCGAGATAGAAAAATATTTGATTTACTCCCTATTACCACGGCATCAATAATACAGGAGTCATTGGACTGAATCACTCCTCCAAAGTCTTTTTCGCATCTGAAACTAAAATGAACAGTACGACAATTGATTGATGCTATTCTGCTACTGTGGTCTATGTATTTCACATGACAATCATTACTGGGTATTAGATGATAAGCTAAATTATTTAGTTACAGGATTTCATCATGAGCTGACATCAGTTAGAGAACCATTGGAAAACCTGGGAGTACTGGACAGCTGTTTCGTCTTAGTTTGGGACTCTTCATCAGTACGCACCCACCGGGATTCGAACCCACGACCTTCTGGTTACAAGGCGAGCTCGTAGACCATTAAGCCACTGGGACCCGATCCAATGGTCCATGAATTCTAACTTCTGCCAATTCACGACATAGCGCGACCCCTATCCAGTGTCTTCGGCGAGTATTTGTCCTCACACCCGACCTGCTGCACCCTACTGGTCACGACTTCTCACTAGAACCCAAGGTAAATACCCATCTGAATAGGGTTTAGTTTAGTTTAATGAGCTCCACATAATCCTATAGCCAACATTTGTTTTTTTTCTAAATGAGTTTGCGGATTTGAATGCCACTTTTATCCCTGCCTTGTTAAGAAGCTTACATAAAGTTTCAGAGGATCACTCTTTGTATGGCAGTGTTGCTGATGTTTTAAATTCCTTTCTATAGTTTCCTACATTACCGCTGAACAATTTCAACTGGGTGATTATTAAGTATCAAAGCCTCCAACTTCTTGGCACAGATTTTCTTCGCCCAGTTATTCAGACATTTCATTAATCCTATTTTCACTGATATAGGCTGGGATGACCCGAAATCTAAGTATCGCTTTGAATGAGTGGATTTTCTATAAATACTAGTGGGTACCCATTTAATATTATTATTATTACTTTGGGGCTTGTTATAACTGTAGCGGATTTAAATGAGGACGTTTTCGCCTTGTTCTGTCTGCGCCTGACTAATATGCCTATCTGCTTCTGGTACCTTCCGACTCAGCGAACCACGCAAATATCAAAAGACGAAGTCTGGTCTGTGACTGTGTATTGTAGTACAACAACTGCGACAAACTACGACTACGACAAAGAAACTTATTTAGGAAATGGTATTTATACATTTTTACAACCAATACAGACAGCTAACAGTATTTGAAATAATTGGTCGTAATAGTCAATAACAAAGTGCGTGGGAATGATGACATACCACTTATACGAGATTAACAGTCGTTAAGATAATTGAACAATAACAAAGTGTGTGGGATCCTATCAGGGCTGTAGTAGAAAGTAGCACAATTTGCAACAGATCTCCGTGTTGTGGTACTTCTTAACTTCATGTCGTGTTTCATTGTGTTCCTTTCACATCTCCCATATATCTCCATAACTCTGTACCATTTGCTATCTCTGACATCTAATCTATCTCCCTACTATTTCATGTTTTTATTCCAATGAACATCTCTTTATATATTTATATATATATTACTGATAAATCTTGTCAGTAGCACACTCCAAAGTAGGGCCTCAACAACACACACCTACTTCATCGTATTCACAGCAATCCTTTATGGCTGACTCCAAGATTGACCATAAGTTTTCATATCCTTCTCACAAGATCTCCTCCCTATTATCCTCAAAGTGACGCCTAACTCCTCATTTCCCCTTTCGAGTTTGACTCAGATTAATATATGAGATATTTATTACGGGTAGTGAAGTTTAGCCATAAGCATTCCGGCTTCACCGTAGTTCAATGAGGATGCTGTGCTGTATATTGTGGTGTTACAATAGCTAAGACACTGTTCATACAACCAAACAGACTAGGTGTCTTTCTAAGGGGTTAACACACCTAAAATCCCTAATATGAAGTTTAATTCACAAGGTAGCTGAGTGACTCACTGTTATCCCTAAACCAAAGCATGTTTGTACGCTATCCATTCTTGTCGAATGTTGGAGCTTATTTGCATTACAGGTGGAAATTCTGTCGTACCCACCAGTCCCATAAAAAATGTCTAGTATACACATTAGTTTATGTGAAAATCTCGTATAGCAGATGAAGGTCTTGAGAAAAACACTCCCCACAAAATTGGTGAATAAGTTCGTATACGAATATTCCTAGAGAGACATTATACTTCCCTTGAGTCCCAAGTGGAACGTGAGTCTTCAACAGCACATCCTCTGTTATTCTCTTTAACTGACTTCACGACTACCCATAGGCTTTCACCTCCTCTAGGTCAGCCTGAGACCCAGGCCCAACTCGTCACTTCCCATTAAGGATCCACTCGAGGGCCTGGTTGGAGCATAATGTCACTCAATGTGTCTAGTTTTTCTCCACTTTCTTCTACATACGTATTAGGCAGTAGGTTCTTGTTTGACACTTTACCTGACTCAATTGATTGTTGCTGATCATTTCTGGCCAGTCATTCGAAGTTCAGTGTGGAGTATACGTCGGTGGTTCAGTGGTAGAACGTTGATCAACCGAGCAATCAGTGTGAGATCCGATCGCCAGCAAACGCACTCCTAAACCTCACTTGGCTGGCAAAATACCCACTGCTGTTAGAACTTGAAAGCTCTACCTTGAAGCTCTATGTTCCAATGAGAACGCGAACGAATAAATAAAATATAAAATAGTAATATGGAGCTGACGAAGGCAGCTGTCAGTGAACGTCCTCAGCAGGCTGTTCGAAGTAATTTCCGTGTAACATGTACCAAATCTCTGAACCACATTGAAGCAATGAAATTCGAATCTTTTTCGTTATGTTGAATGCAACTGGTGTGTGTGAGTGTAGAGATTTGTGTGTGTTCATGCCTTTTCACAGCTAATCCTCAAACTGTAACGCTTCTTATTTCTTTTCAAAATTAGATCAACTGCCAATGGTTCCACAGCCATCAGAACAACCATCATTCCTCGAATCATCATTCATATTACAACTATCCACCGCATCATTCTTCTGTTCAATCATCTTTGAAAACTCCACTAACTAACACGAATACAGAAACTCCTATCAAGTCAACTACTAATGCCTTCACACCATCAAACCATTCATCAAATAAAACCTCAAGAAAATCCCTAGATAACACAGAACAACGTCGAAAAGCCCGTGAACTCTACGTGGCTTTAAAACAACGTTATCCATCAGCTAGTCAGAGCACTCCAACACAGGATGAAGTCCCTCTGTTATCATCAACACAGAACACTCCACCGGTTAATCGAGATAATCCCCAAGAACAATCCCAACAGCCACCAAATAAACCACAGGAACAGCATTCAGACAATGGTTTGTCAGTCAAAGACCCAGTTGTTAGTCAAAATAATCAACTGAAACACAACGAAACTGATCGAAATCACTCTGAGGCGAGTATTTTATCCAGCAGTGATACTACACAGAAGTATGACTCCAAGAATACTTTAGAAGACCAATCTCAATCGAATATACCGAAAGATTTCAGCAGCTCTGATCGAAAGGCTAATAGTTCATTGATTTCCAATGCTGCCACTACCACTACCACTACTACTACTACTACTAATTCTGCTAGTAGTATATTACTTACTGACAGCAAATCTCAGCATAGTGCTAATCTTGTGGAAACGATAAAAAATCTAAGTTACCAAGCTGTTTCCCCAGATGACCTCATTCGTGGTCCATGTGGTTATCAATCCGATGGGGGATTAGAGTGTATGAGCATTTTTTCTCCCCCAACAAATTCAAGTTATGATTCAATGAAACAATTAACTTCACCAATATCATATCAAACAACATCAAAATCAACGACAACCACCAGCACAACAAACCAACAACAACAACAACAAATCGATATCAATGATAAATTATACAATCCTTCAAATGTTTTAATTAGTTCACTACCAAGAAATTTAAAAGCGCCATATTTAAATTCATCGTTACAATTTATAAATTATCAAACAAAGAAGAAAAAATCCGATGATGAGAATAATGAAAATCTGGGGAATTATGCACGTCGTATGCATGAACGTTTGCAAGAGGGAATGAGAGCAGCACAAGAGTCTTTATGGATTCCTGATCTGCCTGAATTGAATATTATGAATAGGTTGAACCATTCAGATATTATGAAAAATATAAGGTGAGGCATTTTTTCCCGTGTAGGATTTTTTTCACTCCTTTTCGTTCTGATTGGAGCGTATAGGAGCTTTAAATTTTGGGGTTTCATTGGTTGGAGGATTTCATCAGGAGCTGACACCACTTGGGGAAATATTGGAAAGCCTGGGAGTACTGGACAGCCAGCTGTTTCGTCCCAGTTTGGGTCTCTTCATCAGTACGCTGATAAAATCCTACAACCAATCAAACAAAATCCCTATAAAACCAATACTTGAAAATTTGAGGTTTCAGTATTGTTTGTCTTTACGAATTGGGGTTGACAGCCTCAAGCCCAACCTTCCTCCTTTTTTCCTTACTATCCGTTAGTAAACTTAGCGATCTAGGAGTACCGTCGGCCAGGAATCGAACTCCACCTACTAGCAGCTTTTTGCAGTGTTTTCAAGATACAGCTTACCGATAGATAGTGAGGAATAATTTGAACGGTGCGCTAAGATGGCCAGTCTTCTTTACTGGTGACCGTAATGCATACTGACCAATGGAAAGAAGTTAGCAAAGAGTCTAAGGAGCAGGCATATGTCACTGATTACTCTACAGTAGAAAACCTTGTAAAACCATTACAGTCCGACAGCAGGTTAACGGTGGGTCTTAATGGAAGAGTGGTAACACCTATAACTAAAGCACTGGGTGACGCGAGGGTGGGGATGGTTGTCAATATCTTAGAGATTGCAGGTACTCATTTCTGACAAGTGCGAATAATCAAGCAATCTAGGTCCACAGATTTCTGCGAATTCTCTTCAACTACCCAGCATTCAAGTATTGGTTTGTAGGGATTTGGTTGATTGGTTACAGGATTTTCATCATGAGCTGACATTGGTTAGAGAACCCAGAAGGTCCTGGGGTCGGACTTCTGTGGGTGCATACTGACGAAGTGTCCCAAACTAGGCTTACGAAACAGCTGTCCAGTACTCCCAGGTTTTCCAGTAGTTTTCTAATCAATGTCAGCTCATGATGAAATCCTGTATCCAGCATTCATTGTTGAACTCTGCTGGTTACTGCACAATAGCCTGTGGAGCTGCTTACGCTTAACTTCTGACTAAATAGATAGAATCTATGGGTCAACAGTGGAATCTAGTCACTTAGTTGTGCAATCTATCTGAGACACTTCATGTGTGGACTGCCATTAAAAGTTTTCTCTATGACTGCAAAGAGCCTTATATTTCCTTAAAAAAGAAGAAGCGTTCAACAAAGAGTTACCCCTTTCAGTGATATCATTCTCAAGCTGTACAACTATATATATATATATATATATATATATATATATATATATATTCAAGCTAGAGGCTTGACGTTTCGGTAGCAGTGGTGTTTATTTTTACGGGATGGGGTTGCTAGCCACCCTCATGCCTAACCTTCCCTCTTTACCAGTCTTATTACTGGCTTGACGAGAAAAAGGAGCGCGTTGGTGGCCGGAGATCGAACCCCGGTAATATTTTGGATTTCTAGGGATATTCGATCAATTTCAATGGATTACAACTTAAGGAAATCAAAACAAGTGGTGATTCAGCGAAGAGACTCTTTTCAACAACGAATTTATTATCAAGCTCTACAATCGTATATATGTGGTTTTATGAAGTTATATCCAGTGAGGGAATTGAATCATAGGTGTGAATGCATAAAATCGTAATATTAGTATGAAATGCAATTAAAATTAAAATTTTTATGATTATAATCGTAGTTAAATGTCAAGTGTCAAAACAATTAGTGTCATATATCAAATAATTCATAGGATAGATAGATGTTGGAAAGGGTATGCAATTATAGGATTAGTAGGAAAATCCAATAAAATAAAAACGTTACGTAATATTGTGTGAAATTTAATAGCATAGAATTTAATGTTGCATAAAGGAATTGTTTTAGAATGACAAGTGGAACAAGTGAAATAATACCGGGGACAATTAAAAGTGAGAATAGTAATTGTAACAATTGACATTGTAATAAAGGAAGAGAATAAAAATTGAATAGACAAAATGAAAACATGAAAAATTGGTAGAGCTAAAATATGATTGGGGATTACCATACTTTAGCATAGAGGGATTAAGACCATGAAAGTTGGAGGGGTTGAACGAACTTTTTCTGTACACATAGATCTGGCTTTTCTGTTTCGATAGCCAAAGATGGCTTCAGCAATACAGATGAGTTGGGTACGTAGTGATTTCGGTAAATTACTTTTTGCCTTATAGATGACTTTAAAGGCGCTTCTTATTACCCCACTTCCACCTCTTTGTAACTACCATGCACGATAGTGTTCTTGCACCCTATTGGACAAAACTCGAGTCGAACGACCGATACACCTAGCTGCACACCTATGATTCAATTCCCTCACTGGATATAACTTCTTAAAAACCACATATATACGAGTGCACAGCTTGATAATAAATTCGTTGAAAAGAGTTTCTTCGCTGAATCACCACTTGTTTTGATTTTCTATGCGTTACAACAGGGATTTTCCATGAACTAAAAAAATATAACTTAAGGGTCCGGAGTCCAACCATTGATAAGATAATTCGTGCACGCCGTTGAAGAGTCGCAAAATGGGACAAAACACAATTTTCCAATACGTCATGTTTCTCTCTCTCTCTCTCAATGACCACCTAAATGAATTCGGTACATGACTATCTCTAGAGTGACTAAATGTTACTTTTATGCCTCATATTGTCAAAATGTTTCTCATAGGTATCGATTTTTCATTCTGTCTATTTCTTTCCCATTCCCATTTAGTTCTTCAATGAATGAAGGAAATAAAACGACATCGTTGTCGGAAAGTGAAACAGACCATCTGCAATGTTCTAATCAAAATGATGAATCAAAAGTCAAGATAGCGGCGATGACAACGATGGTGAATCCAAATATAAATCTAGACAAAGTGTCTTCACCATTATCGATCAGTGATACTGGTCATCTACCGCATCAGTTGAATTCACGAGTCAATTGTTACTCGTCTTTAAATTTAGGATTTCATTTAAGCAATACTTCTGTCGGTGGTGGTGGTGGTAATCGATCACAACAGGACGCCAGTCAAGCAATTCTTAAAGGCTTCAATTCTCAATCAATCAATAATATGAAGGTCAATAATAATAATAACAGTAGCAATAGTGACAACGCTAATGATATACACAGCGACTATTCTCATTGGGATTTAAAAAATGGTGTCTGCTCTGATGTTGAAGATCTACTGAACCAGCATGAACGACGTCTGTTATCCCTTTCATCAGGAACTGGTAAGATTCGATTTCTGTTGTGCTGTATGCTTGTGTTTGGTAGTTATGAAAAACTACACCGTATACAAAGGTAAATCATCCTCTGCTGTACTCACTGAAGCCGGAGTCCCCCAAGGCGCTGTACTCTCCCCACTTCTCTTTTCTTTCTTTCTACATGACTTACCATCTTCAAATGACATTAATTTTGTCAAATACGCTGACGATCTGTCTGTATCTTTGCCTATCAAATGTCAAAGCGACTGCTCTAAACTTAATGGCTTTCTGTCAGAAATCAGCCAGTGGTCCAAGGAAAACAGTCTTACCCTAAACCCCTCCAAATGCCAAACAGTCAATTTCACCTTTAAGCATAAATCCGACCTAAACAAACTGGTTGGCTCTTACGAGGTATGAAACGTAGACGGCACTGAAATATAAACTAAATCGGAAACTAAATACCTAGGTGTCATTCTATCTGCTGATCTCTCCTGGTCGTCTCATATCTTGATGATTTCTAAGAAAATATTCCGTCTTACCTTCTACATCAAGAAGTTAAAACATTCTGGTATTACCCAACCCTTACTCCTACAATTCGTTAATTCTCGCATCCTGCCTATTATTCTCTATTGTTCCCCCTTAGTTTTTCCTGGGCTACTGAAGAAAGACTATAACATATTACGCAGGATGTTAAATGTTGTCAGCAGGGTAAGCAACGTGCCACTTGACCAGCTTGTTAATATTCTGGTTGGACTCCTGTGAAAAATGGGCCAAATCCATTTTATCTTACTCACACCACCCTCTTCACTCACAACTCTCCCCTTGCATCTCATCAGGTAAAACCAGAAGCCAATATAGAAAACTATATGCTCGCACTAGCAAGTACAAAAACTCAACCCCATACACTACTTACCTCGTGTTCTGTGTGATCAAGAAAGCATTAGGCGTGACACCTATAATTCATTAAATAGTCAGTAGTACAACTGGATCTCGTCTTTCCAACTCACATCATTTATGGGTATAACATTTTCTTTCTCTCTTTTCCTTTTCTCTCTCTTCTTTTTCCGTTATGTGCTGCATTGTTTCTTTCTCTCGCTTACGCCAGTTAATAAGACAGGCCCCACTTTTCTAACACCTTCAGACACTGCCTCAGCTTTACCTTTGCTACCGACATGCCAATGTGTTGTTTTAATAATGAACTGAGATTTCCTTAATCTATGTAGAATTTTATTTATTGATAATGTACTAACTGGATGCAATACTGTAGTAAAAATGGTGAGAATTCCATTCTGTATCATAAGTACTGTTTTGGAATAAAGCAAATTATTATTATTATTATTATTACAAGTTGTTAAATTTCACCGAATTATTAGAAACGAAAAGACAACAGGTCTGTTAACAGTATGAGTTACGTGATTTCCACCATGAGCTGAAATTAGTTAGAGAACCATTGGAAAACTAAGGAGTACTGGACAGTTGTTTCATCCTAATTTTGAACTCTTCATCAGTACGCACCCACCGGGATTCGAACCCAGGACCTTCTGGTTGCAAGGCTAGCTCGTATACCATTAAGCCACTGGGACCCGATGCACTGGCCAGCGCATGAATTCTAACTTCTGCCAATTCACGACTTCTAACTAAAATGTCAGCTCATGATCAAAATCCTGTAACCAATCAAATCCCTGAAAACCAATAGTTGAATATCAATGAGATGCTCACCAGCGACTTGCCCTATTCAGGTAGGTAGTTACCTGGGGTTCTAGGGAGAAGTCGTGACCAGTAAAGTGCAGCAGGTTAGGTGTGAGGACAAATACTCGCCGAAGACATTGGCTAGGGGTCACGCTATGTCGTGAAATGGCAGAAGTTAGAATTAATGGGCTGGCCATTGGATCGGGTCCCAGTGGCTCAATGGTCTACGATCTCGCCTTGTAACCAGAAGGTCCTGGGTTCAAATCCCGGTGGGTGCGTACTGTGAAGAGTCTCAAACTAGGACGAAACATCTGTCCAGTACTCCTTGGTTTTCCAGTGCTTCTATAACTAACCTCAGCTCATGATGAAAATCCTGTAACCAATCAAATCCCTACAAACCAACACTTGAACGGTATGAGTGTTTTTCAACTTGATTTTGGCGCTTTACTGGAAGAGAACTAGTGTGAGTTTAGAAGACAGTATGTCATGTATGCCTTAGCTCCCCCACCACCGCCATCGCTGTCGCTGCCTAATTTCTGTCACAGATTAGTCTATAATCATTAAAAATTAACACATTTTTCAGTTATCGCGCACTCACTGCGCTTTTTTATACTTCCCGCTCTTTGTAAAGCTTCTACTCTGATTGGTTGATAATTCTTGAAACATTATCCTTATGGGACCATGGTTGCTAACTGCTGAAGAGTCCTAAACGAAGATAAAAAGCTGTTCTATGCTCCTTGGTCTTGAATGGATCTCTAGCTGAAGTCAGTGCTGGATTGAGTGACGAATTATTGATTTCCCAGTTGGATCTTCCCTCATCTCTGGTTTTACTAATGTCAGTGAGGGGAGCCGACGGGGAGGGGGCGGGCAATAATTAACCAAGAAAATTAATCCAACAATTAAAATATAGAGATGCTAACAACAAATGGGTAATTTTGGGAAAACAAAGTGTAATTCAGGAATGAGCGAGTTTACAAGCAGGCAGGAAAATAAAATAATTAGGACAATATAATTGGTGGATGGTGAATAGCAGTGGAATCCAGGATGCGCATTTCGTCCTGTTTGGGACTCATCATCTGGATGTGGTCTAGTGTATAACGCTTTGGCGTTTGAAACTATGGGCACTGGGTTCAGGCCTCGGCGGGAACATCATCACTCAATGGGTAATGCATGTACATCCAGATGACGAGTCCCAAATAGGACGAAATGCGCATCCTGGATTCCACTGCTAATCACATCCACCAATTAAATTCTAATTACATGCCCAGACATCATCGAAGCAGCTGCACAATAAACTGACATGTCAACCTGAGACAGAGCACTTCGATCCAATCAATCGACGGGAA